TCCCTCACCTGCGGCATCTGGCACAAAGGGCCACCAGAGTGATGCTGAGGATGAGGAAAACAATGAGGGAGATGATGCCCACCTCTGGGGATGAAAACCAACCCAACATGCCAACCATCCCTACTGGAGCCATTGTCCTAGTGCTCTGTAAAGAATGGCAAAACCATGCCGAAAGTAGGCACACACAAATTCATTAACAACCAAAGTGGGTTATACAATCAGTTATTCCATTAGATACAATCCTGATGATGTCCAGTAAACATAAAATCCAGCACTTTTCAGGGGGACATATTCTTCAAAAAGAACCATAATCATATTATGGCAAAAAACAAGAAATGAAATAAAAAACAGGTTGCATAACTTACGTTTTATGCTGCCTGACTCCGCTGTAGCTCTGTCAAAAACTGCTGTCAGTCATTCAACTGCCTTTGCTTTATGTGGCTCACAGCAGGCATGAGACATAGGGAGGGACTCATTGGTGTCCTGTCTGTTATGAAGGAGGTGCTGAAACAAGCCCATAAACAGCCCATTGTGTTTTTTATCATCGCCAAATTACATCCGCACCTGAGCGCATTGGCACCTGACACGCCTGTGGTTTCCAGGAATGTTGGAAGGTATGTTTTAGCCCAAAATACTGGAACCTCGAAATATGGTGAAAAACCCCAATAACATATCATCAATACAAGACATTTGTATTTATATTTATACGTATACTGAAAATCCTCCTGTGGGGGAAACCTGAAAGCCCAACCACTGATGTTAATTCATGTGTGTACTGTAGCTGCCTGCCAGGGAGAAGGCTTTACACACACACACACACACACACACACACAAACACTCCCCCTAGCAGCAGTTTACATGACTGCAGAAATTGGCAGCTCGGTGCAGTTTGATACTCAGTCTTTAAATATTTTAAATATGCAGTGATCTTTGTTCTGTTGTAGTCCTTGAGCTATGACTTATACAGTATTTGTCACATTATTTCTAGGACTCCGTGGTCTTATATAGTCAGGTACATTTATATTTTTAATTCCAGTAGTTGTAGTTGTTGGATATATACCCAGTAAAAGACACTAGAAATTACATTGCTGTTGCAATGCACGTTAGTTTCTCCTTCTTGGTCTCTACACCAAGAGCTGATTGGCTGAAACTACTGAAATCATAATCACAAGGGAGGGATTACAGAAAAAAAGGATCATTGTTTGAATGCAAACAGAGTTTGGATGTAGACTAGGACCAGTATAAATGGATTACTTTGCTTCAGAGGTGCCGTTTGAGTTCTACACATGGATGGCAAAAAAGAAAAACCAGCATGTCTACAGGATAAACCTTGTGCACGAGTGTAGGAGTGTGGCGCTCCATTGCACGGTGTAAATTTGTCTGTTAATGTCAGCTGTGTGCATGTTTTCCAGCCACACCTGTACGATAAAGCTAAAAGCATGCTAAAGCACTTTTTTTTTTTGACTGCATGGTCAGTGGAATTACCCCATCCAGAGCCAAGGGAGCAGGCCAGTTATGTAATTCTGCATTCACACAGTATTTAAGTCATTAAACACGTTTCATATTGTTTCCTTCTGCTTCCCTCCTCAGGAAACAGCATTTTCAGTAAAGGTTTTCACTAAAGCAAAGACTTTGTTTACAAAACTTTATGTTTTGCCTTTAAAATAATGATTTAATATTTTGTAAAAATATGTTAAGTTGGTTTCTTTCTTCTTAAACTATCTCATCTTCTATGTGTCATTTTTGTCATGTTATGTCTGTCGTGTGTGATATACGCACGATTTTGGGGGAGATTATTTTTTGGATAATTCCTTATCAAGTGCATTAAAACTAAGGCGACAAGCCTGTTTTGAAAATGTAAGGAGTAGAAAGTATTTGTGTACTAAAGGACAGATACCTAAAAAAAAACCCTTATGTACAGTAACACAATATTTACACTTTATTATTTCTCACCTATGACAGCCCAGAGACCTAGCTTAGCCACAGCTAACCTGGCTCTGTCTGGAGAAAAAAGTAACACCTCTAAAGCTCACTCATAAACACGTTAGATCTCATTTGTTTAATCTTTTTGAAGATTAGAGCTGCTTCCAGTCTCCTGGCTCCACCTTAGTATTTCACAGACAAACAAGGAAGTCATCAAACTCTGAAAAATGTACATTTTCCTTAACTAACCTCATGAACTAAAGTTTTGTATGCAGTGACATACTGGAAGGTAAGGCAGTGGAAGAATTGCATTGATTTACCCCGACACACACATCCACTCTCACATTCCTCACCACCCCTGACTCATTACACACACACACACACACACACACACACACACACACACACACACACACACACACACACCTCTTTGTTAGTGATGTCACCAAGTAACACCCACGCCCATTACTTGTTTAACAGCCCCATTCTGTCATGATCATCTTCTGAAGCCCTGCAGAACAGGCAATCTATAGCTCTCAGCAATTTTCATTTGTTGCTTTTCTGGGGTCTGTATGAGATTTGCTCAGCGGCACAAAGCTAAATCAATAGCCAGCAGGGGGAAAGGTAGCCTGCAGGAAACATGGCCAATTTCAACTATTTGCAACATAATCCTGAAAGCACAATTTGCTCATATGAACACAGCTAACAAATAATCTCTATTTGTGGGCAAATTGAAAAAATAATGGCCTTCCTGGTGTTAGCTGAGTTTAACCCTGCAGAGGAAAGTGGGCCTACTGCATGTTCATTTATGAATCTAATAATGCCACCGCAGGGTTCACTGACACACTGAGGGCCACATTTTTTCATTCAGACTATTCCCAATAACTGACTGTAACACATTTTCTGTAGCCTTTCTCAAATATTCTCCAGGTTTTAGCTCTTCTGTGCTGACTACCACTTCTTTAAGAATTAAAGCATTAAGAAACAGTTTGACATAACATATTCGCTTTCTTGCCAGGAGTTAAATGAGAATTTCGATACCACTCTCCCTCTGTACGTTAAATATGAAGCTAAAGCCAGCAGCCATTTAGTTTAACTTTGTCCAAAGACTGGAAACGGGGAATCAGCTAGTCTGGCTCTGCCAAAAGGTAAGGAAAAAGCGCCTCTAAGTGTGTGCAGATGAGAATAGAAATAAATTCTCCCAAGGTGAACAAAGACAGAGAAGCACCGGAGCAAAAAACATATCCTGGGGCTTTATGAATCCACTTCATCAACGTACAGAGATAAGAGGAAATATGAGAAAAACCAGAAGAGAAACACAGACAGGCAAACTACCACACACAGTCAGTGCATATGCTACTGGCAAGCTAACAGCTACCGTCTGTATGCTGTATGCTATAGCTGGTATGAAAAAAATGTTGCTGTATGTCTGACCACACCTGACCTAGCTATGTACTCGGCAACCTAACAACAAGACTCCAGAAAGTCACTGTGCTAGGCCAAGAAATTGTTCAACACATGACCCCTGTAAAACTGCAATATTCTGCAGATTAAACAAGTGTGATACAAGGCGTTATTAGTGAGGTTGAGACGTGCTGGAAGGCAGATTTTGTTAACTTTGGACAGAGCCAGGCTTCAGGTTTCAGTCTTTATGCTAAGCTAGACTAACAGACAGATACAAGAGTGGTATCAATCTTCTGGTTTAATTCTTAGCAAGAAAGCAAATATATACACATTTCCCAAATTGTTGAACTACTCCTTTAAACTGCAGCCTGAGCTCCGACTCACACACTGATACCGGGCCTTCCGGAAGGACATTTACTTTTCATATTTCAGAGTGTACAAAAGGTGTGGCTATCAGCTCAATATGACTGAACTGTAACACCTAACAACAAACACACTGACAATAGCCTGGTTTCTTCCATATGTACAAACAGAGTCAACAAGATATATTTGTGTTTAACATTAGTGTCTAAACACCCTAGACTTATGTCATAGCCTGTTCTAAATATTCAGTATCTGCCAAGGATTTTCCGTTCCTTTTCCGTTTTCCCCTAGGTTCTTTTTATGTTATCTCATGCTTTCCACATCGGCTTGTTGCATAGTGTTTGGCCTTGCTGGGTAAATGGGTGGTGCACAATCTACTAAATATCATTATGTTGAGATAAACCAGTCTTTCATCTGCTCCCAATCAAAATCCTCTTTTTTTGATCTTTGAAACTCAATATTAAGAGGACAGGGGAGGAAATAGAATTACCATTAGTGAGTCAATAACAGCATTTTGAAGGTCTAATATGTCATTTGATTGGCCAGAAAAATAAAACTGAAACATGCAGTTGTTGTTTTTTGCCCCTGCAGGGCAGTGTTGTCCTCTCTCCAACCCACACACACACACACACACACACACACACACACACACACACACACACACACACACACACACACACACACTTCACAACTTGATCTGCTGAGGGATTTTACCCATGTGGAAGACTGTTATGCCAACTTTTCTCCTCATGCAGTCTATCCTCCTGCCTCAGTATTAAACTGGCCTCATTGTTCGCCCAAATCCTACTATCTGGCTAGTCCACTGAACGCCATAATCCAGATTTGCTCTTTCACTCTGTCTTTCAATGTTGACATTGCTGCTTGCCTCAGGAGAGAGTTTAGAGTATCAGTATGTCCAGAACTGGACAGTAAACTAACTGATGAGTACACAGGTGCCTTATTTCTGTATCAGACGAGGTCTGTATCAGAAGAGCTTGAAAATGCATTTTCCCTACAGGTATCTACAATATGTGTGTTTATTATACTAATATATTTCATAAAATTAGGAACAGAAATGTAGGCAGTGCAAGGTTTACCCCTGGTATGTTTCAGACTAATATCCTCCATCAGCATTCTCCTCAGAACAGTCATCATCCGCAATTAAATGGGAGTATGATTCACTGTGGAAAACTTAACCGAGCTATAGTTAGCAAACCATGGAGTCCACTGAGCCAACTATTGCTTTGTTGAATCAGCAGTTAAACCCTTCGGAAATTTCAGATGATCTGTTAATGGTATCAGACAGAAAGCTCTTTCACATTTTTTTTTATTGTTAAAATACTTCAAGTAATCAACATTTTTAATAGACAAACTGATTTATGTTCAACAAAAACATATAAAGACGGCCTTATTTGCTGCTGACAGTTTTTCCCTCACCATCGACCACTCCTCTGTCTCCTCCTCCCCCCAGGTTAAGAGTCTGGGTGTCATCCTTGACAGCACATTATCTTTCCAATCCCATATCAATAACATCACCCAGTCGGCATATTTCCACCTACACAATATTAATCGGCTCCGCCCCTCCCTTTCTCCCCACTCCACTGCCATTCTTGTACACAGCCTTGTCACCTCCTGCATGGACTACTGCAACTCCCTTCTCTTTGGCCTACCTCACAAATACCTCCATAAACTTCAACTGGTTCAGAACTCTGCAGCTCGAATCATCACCAGAACCCCCTCCATCCACCACATCACCCCTGTTCTGCAGCAACTCCACTGGCTCCCGGTCAAACTCCACATAGACTTCAAAATCCTCCTGTTTATGTTCAAGGCCATCCACAACCTTTCCCCTCCTTATCTGTCCGAACTCCTCCACATCGCCACCCCTTCCCGTTCCCTCAGATCTGCCTCCTCTGTCCACCTCTCTGTCCCTCCCGCCTCCCTTTCAGCCGCTCCGCCCCCCCTCGAACTCACTCCCACCGGACCTCAGAAACCTGGACTCTCTCCCCCTCTTCAAATCAAGACTAAAAACTCACCTATTCAGAACTGCATACCCCACTTAATATCTACATTGTCTTTTCTTATCTGTTTCTTATTTCTTACTGTTCTTATTTTTTAAGTGTTGTACGGTGTCCTCGAGTGCCCAGAGAGGCGCCTTTAAATAAAATGTATTATTATTATTATTATTTTATTATATTGTTAATATAATTTGGTACATTTAAGCCCAACCCTGTTCTCTCTCTCTCTCTCTCTCTATCTATCTCTCTCACAAACACACAGACACACAAACACACACACTTAAACTTGTCACTTGTCTCTCTCTTGTTTACCCTGCAGCTTACTTTTAATATGCCTCATTGTGATGAGTGCTGTCAAGGTGCAACACAGGAACAGAGCGGGGAAGAATACACAAGCCCACCACAGCTGCCTCTCTCCAAATACCTCCACCACTGTATCCCTCTGCCTAGCATAGTCCTGGAACAGAGCCTCCAGCTGGAACACGGTGCACAGGGACAGAAACAGGTGGAAGATCTGGTGACCCTGACCCAAAAAGTCACAGTGGCCCGGGAAGAAGCGCTCAGGGATGGGACAGGAGAAGAAGAGGGCAGACAGCAGGAAAAAAACAATCTGGAGTGCGTGGAAGGGCAGGGAGGGCTCCTGTGCCCAGGAGACGGTGAACAGGCGGTGGACTACGGGGCTGATGTCCAACATGTACGCTAGTGTGGTTGGAATCAGCTGGCAGATTTTACGCTGCAATGGATACGGCCGCCGGTACCTGGACTTAGCGAAACAGCAGCCCGCACAGGAGAGCCACCCAAAGAGGGCAGCTCCAGGTAGAAACAGCAGCCCGATGCAGCTTTCTCTCCATGCTGCCTCTGACGTGTAGAAATAATGTCCGAGTGAGCAACCATACTGATACACAGCTACACCCACATAGTCCATGAAAAAGAAAAAGTAGTGTGCACGTTCAGAGTGAGACTGCAAGAGGTGAGCTGCCACACTAAAGAACAGATAGGTCAGAGCAGATACCAGGAAGATGCTTAGAGGTAGAGAGGCTGTGTCCAAGGTGTACCCCAGGGCACCTACGTTGGCCCACCAGCGGAGCAGCAGCACAGGACCAGTCAACAAATGAGTCCACACGTTCAGGGATTCATTGTGTCTTTGGAAGAGGCTGAAGAGGTAGCAGCGCCAGTCCTGCTGGACGGGACGGTAGCCCGTAAGTATGTAGGGCTCTCGGAACAGGCTGGGGACCTGGGAGGCGGCAACGGTGGGGCTGGGTGATGGAATGGAGGAAGGGATGAGGTCAGAGAACTTGGGCAGGCGGCTAAGGTGTTTGATGCTTACGGGCAAAGTGCTGAACCGCTGCAGAATGTCGCCCGACATAGCTGAGTGATAGGTGGAGGTGAGCAAGAGGACTGCTGGACAGGACACCCTGTGGGACACAACATTTAAATAAAAGAGAGTCATTTTTTATAGGAGAGGATGCCACATAGAAATGAATGAATGGTTATTTATTGAAAAATAATTTATATTGGCTCATAACCAAATAGGAACCCAGAGTGTGCTTTGATGTGAAGTGAAGATTTTTTTCTTAGAATGTATCAGTCTGCACAGTGAATCAGAGGTATGAAGGTGGGGGTTTAAGAACGGAAGATGAAGAGAAAGTCTGAGTTTAATACAATCTGAGGAGGATTAAAATTGGGAGAGAAAGTTAATAAAACTTCACACACACACACACACACACACACACACACACACACACACCAGCCAGGAGCACATGCTGTGACATTTCAATAGACAGATTAACAAAGCAGGACTGTTTCTGTGAGCCCTGAAATAATGCAGCTGCAAATATTTTGCTGTTTCATATAGCATTAATGTTAATGTAATGCAGATTTGACATATTGCTGCAGGTTGAACTATTTCAGCTTACTTTTAAGTGACACAGTAATAGGTAATACACACAACATGAGAGGACATTCTTCTCCACATGAGTCACATACACTAGAAAAACAGGTATGTAGTCAAACCTGTAACCATCGCCCCCCCTGTTATGACATGTGCACACAAAGAGGAATGTAAACTACAGCTCTCACCAAGGTAAATGAGCACCTATGGTGACAAGAAGACAAACAACCACCCATCTGAGGATATGCTCCTACTGAAAACACCTCACCATTTTCCCACTCTATTGCTGTCAGATATATCAGTGACCCTGAATGCCTGCACCTATTTAGATCTTCCAAGTTATAATGGGAGGTTTGAACAGGGTTGGTCTTACACAAACAAGGCGAATTCTGCTGCATGTGCATTTTCAGCCCATAAAGAAATAATAAACTATTACTACTACCTTTAATCTATTCGCGACAAAGAAGCTGCAGCAGGATCAGCCCTATGCATAAAAACGTTTCACATACTTTATCCTATATTAACACAGAAGAAACTGCAAAAAAAAAAAAAAAAAACACATTTAATTTGCAATAGCTGTAGAAATGATTCACACCCTTAAGTTGATGCCAGTCTGAATTAATGTTGTTTCGGGGAGGAGAGGAGAAGAAACACCATCTCACCTGCTTGTGTCGGCAGAACACCTGTTGCCCCTGTGGAGTCGCAGGAGAGTGTTTACCGGACGCTGTCCTCCTCCCTGAAGGAGCGCAGTTTACCTATAACATGTGGAGCTGGAGACAGACGTCGGAAGCTGCGGGGAGGCAACGCGTCAAAACACAGCTGACCCGACAGCCCGGAGAGAGCGGGCGGGGTTTAAATGACCGGAAATCATTAGGCTATATCATTATCAATATCTGCAAATCTGTTTATTCTCATAGGAGACGTTTGTAGGCGCCTTGGAAACGTCTTTTAGAATTAAGTTTGTGTTTTATATCGTTAGTATTTACATATTTAAAAAAACTGAATTGTGTTTATAATCCACGAATTCTTTACAACGATTGTGGCCTGACAGGACATTTAAACCCGTAATAACGATGATTCACTGGGGAAAATTAGATTTAAAAAATCCATTTTGCATGTGTGTCTCCATCTAGTGTCCGGTACTATGCACTGCATCATGTTCTAACTAAATTGGTCTGTTTCACTTCGGCATATGACAACAAATATGATATTATATATAGCCTATATATGGCTAATTAAATGACCTGAGAAAAAAGAAACTCCAAATTACAGGGGCGCTATGTTAAAGTGCACCTTGTTTCCTCTTTTCAGTCATTACACACACGATCTGAGGAAAGTTTGTGTCCGTGCATCTTTCATTCAAATACTCCCTTTTTCAGGGTTTTTACTAGGGATGGGCGATACCACCCTTTTAGGATTCGATACAATACCGATACTGATCATTTCTTATTGGCAACTGTTTTTCATTCAAAATATTGTTACACTTAAGGCAAATCACATGACAAATACTGGCCATTTATCTCAAATTTATTATGTGCCATACATAATAAAACAAAAAGTAAAATAAATAACATCAATATGAATGAAATAAATTAAATATGAACAAAAACATGCACATTTGCACTTTCCTCACTTATTTAAAAAAAAAAAAAACCTGTATGTTGAAGTAAACATGTAAAACATGTACAAGTACATTTATTTCTTTTCTTTTAAAGTATTTTTGGGGGCTTTTTATTGCCTTTATGATAGTGACAGCTATTGAAAAGCAAAGATATTGAAAAGAAGTAATAAATGGTTTCATTAAAGTCTGTGTAAAGCAAAAGATAAATATGATTTCTGAGTTTCTCACACCAAAGAAAAAGGTGTTATTAACCATCCTGCCAAATTTGAATGGGGGGATCGGCGCCGCTCTCAACTGTCAAAGAACATTACTGTACCTATAACAGCGCCAAAATGGACGCTAACAGCTTCATTAGGTTCACTCAGCCCTACATGTTTGAGCCACCAGAGCCAGAATCTGACCCAGAGTCAGAGGACACTGACCTGTCCTCTGCCGCTGGATCAACCTCATTCCTCTCAGCCTGCTACAGAATGCTAATGTTTTTCTCCCATTTATGCTAGTGAGCAATACGTATTACTGACTTTATTTTCCACAATGATCATTACACAATCTCTAGCACTAAAACACCTTCTAACACTCTCCAACAGGTTCAGAATAGATGTGGAGAGCTTCCTGAAGAGCCACAGTGCATGACTCTTCATCCAGGCATTGAGCCAGTCTGCCTGAACCCCTACACCTCTGGACAGGTAAAGTTCCTGAATGGGGGGCAGGTTGGCACCAATGACCCTCTCTGCAGTCCTGACTGTCCGCTGTAATCTGTTCCGGTCCTGTTTGGTGGTCGATCCAAACCAGACAGTGATGGATGAACAGAGAACAGACTGAATGATGGCAGTATAGAACTGGATCAGCAGTTCCTGAGGCAGGTTGAGTTTCCTGAGTTGGCGCAGGAAGTACAACCTCTGCTGGGCCTTCTTGATAATGGTGTCTGTGTTTTCACAGCAGACACAGAGCTATTGAGTATGGTGATGAGGGGCAGAGTTGGAGGGCTCCTCCTAAAGTCCACTGCCATCTCCACAGTTTTGAGTGTGTTAGGCTACAGGTTGTTCTGACCACAGCAGAGGGCCAGCTGTTCAACCACTCGTCTGTATGCAGACTCGTCACATCTGCAAACTTCAGGAGTTTGACAGACTGGTCTCTCGAGGTGCAGTCAATGTTGTAGAGGGAGAAGAGCAGTGAGGAGAGCACACACCCCTGGGGGGCGCCAGTGCTAATTGTCTGGGTGCTGGATGTGATGTTCCCCAGCCTTACCTGCTGCCTCCTGTCAGTTAGTAATGCACTGAGGGGTGGAGGCTGGCACAGTGAGCTGGGTGAGTCTGGTGTGGAGGACATCCTCCCAGGTGGGCCAACTTTCAAAGGACTTCATGTTTACAGATGTCAGAGCAACAGGCCTGTAGTCATTTAGTCTTGTGATGGAGGGTTTTTTTCATGATGATGATGGTGAAAGATCATATTATAATTAAACATAAAGAAAACATCTAAATGATTGGTTGATGATGTTTTGTTTGCGGCTAGACAAAATGTAATAAACCACACAAAGTTAAAAAGTTATGTTTTATGTGATAAATGAGCTGGTAGCCTGCACAGTCTGGACTTAAACACATTAAATCGAATTATTTAAATTACTGGCTAAAATGTTTTACCACTATTATTTTCTTTAAATTATTAGGTGACTTAAAAGTCATATTATATCCTATTATGTATAAAATATCTGTAACACATGACAATATCTGAACTCTCAAGCTCTTAAATCTCCTGTTTATGTCGCCATCTCCCGGACGATCGGCTTTTCCTCCTTTCTGCTCCCTTTTCCCGCGAATTCTTGGTCGGCCGCAGTCATGTGACCGCGGGGGTGAATTGTATTGGACAGCTGTACTTTACCCGCCACCTACGTAAAAGAGTACGTATCGAGTTGTCCAATAGCATCTTACGCTCTACTTGCGCCCGGCACGTAGTGGCGCGAAATCTCTTCAGTTGTGTGGTTCGACGGCAGCAGAGCACACACACTGTACAACGCTCCGTGCTATAGTTTAACATTTTAAAGTATAATAAATAACCGCTTACCATGGCAACCGACGTCGTAGATGACCAGGAGATGAGAGAGGCTCAGAGGGACTACCTGGACTTTCTGGACGACGATGTAAGTCTGACTTTTATCCTGTTAAACCCCATATTGTGGAATGAAACGAGAAACCATGCGGTCGCAACAAAAGAGCGACCCTTCATTTGACTAGTTGGTGAGAAATATCGCTGTTGACAGTTAGACCACATCAGCTTTGCAAATGCTACATGCTGCTACGAAGCTTGGTGCAACACTTTAGTTCCGGTTCTGAGTCTAGCTTATTGTGTTCAGTTCGCCGTAAACTGATGTGTGTATCTTCTCAAGCCTCAGTGAAATCGTTCTCAAATTGTTCTGCCCATTTTCTGCAGCAAGACCAGGGGGTTTACCAAAGCAAAGTCCGGGACATGATCAGCGAGAATAAAGCCCGACTCATCGTCAACATCAACGACCTGAGGAGACGCAACGAGGCCCGGGCTGCAAAGTAAGGAGGGATGCTCTGTGTGTGTGGATGGAAACTGTCTGATATGTGACGAAAATAAATGAACAGTCTTCCTTTTTACAAAACAAAATCTGAATTCATAAGCAAACAATCAACAGACACTATTGACAGAAATGGAACATAATATATATATATATATTGCCCAGAACAGACAAACCAAACTGTAGATAGAGCCATGCAAGTTTCAGGGCCACTGTCAGTTCTCCTACAGATGCCAGCGGTGTTCAGGTAGACAATAAACGTGTCCCACATGCTACACCTGCTGACAGCAGAGGGAGTGACTCCAGGCAGCCTGCGATTACTCTGAGCAGCAAATCACAAGAGATATACTTGAATATATTTCTTGTGTTTTTACAGATGGTTTGAATAAGTTATTGGTAGTATTCCCTGACACAATGAAAAATTAAGCATCCATAATTATGTCCGTGACTCCAATGATTCCCTGTCTCTGACAGACTGATGAACAATGCCTTTGAGGAGCTGCTGGCCTTCCAGCGGGCTCTGAAGGACCTGGTGGCCTCGGTGGACGCCACCTACGCCAAGCAGTATGACGAGTTCTACATCGGCCTGGAGGGCAGCTTCGGCTCCAAGCACGTCACCCCCCGAACCCTGACCTCCCGCCTGCTGGGCAGCATGGTGTGTGTGGAGGGCATCATCACCAAGTGTGAGTTTGCTGTTCCTCCATCTTTGGCCTCTACTCATCACTTCGTGTCTCTCTTGAGTCCTTTGCGCATCGTGTGTAATTTGCTGCTTGTCGTTCTTCTTCAGGTTCTCTGGTGCGTCCTAAAGTAGTGCGCAGCGTCCACTACTGCCCAGCCACCAAGAAGACAATGGAAAGGAAATACACTGACATGACCTCGCTGGATGCCTTCCCCTCCAGTGCCATCTACCCCACCAAGGTAACTAGTGGAGCCCAGATGTTTCATTTTTAACTTTTCATATACTTCTATTGCTTTATCACAGTAACAGGATGGTCTTCACTTTACAACCTCTTTGTCTCTCCCGACAGGATGAAGAGAACAACCCTCTGGAGACAGAGTTCGGTCTCTCCATCTACAAGGACCACCAGACCATCACGGTGCAGGAGATGCCCGAGAAAGCCCCCGCCGGCCAGCTGCCCCGCTCCGTGGACATCATCCTGGACAACGACCTGGTGGATGTAGTCAAGCCCGGAGACAGAGTGCAGATCATTGGAACGTACCGTTGCCTGCCTGGCAAGAAGGGAGGGTTCACCTCTGGCACATTCAGGTGTGTGTACGTGTTTGTGTGTACGTGTGTGTGTAAGTGTTTACCCTTGTTCTCTGTAATTAATATTTCACCCTCCTCTGCTCAGGACCATCATGATAGCCTGCCATGTCAAGCAGATGAGCAAAGAGGTGTCCCCCAACTTCTCCGCGGACGATGTGGCCAAAATCAGGAACTTCAGCCGGACTCGCTCCATAGTGAGGCTCCAATCTTTCTGCCTGGTCGCTCACAGCTGTTCAAGCGTAGGAAACCCAAACTAAATTAGAAATTTCTCCCTTTTTGTTTTTACTTAGAATGTGTTTGATCAGCTGTCTCGCTCCCTGGCTCCCAGTATCCACGGCCACGAGTACATAAAGAAGGCTATCCTCTGCATGCTGCTGGGCGGCGTGGAGAAGGTGCTGGAGAATGGGTCGCGCATCAGAGGAGACATAAACATCCTGCTCATCGGTATTTCTTCTTCTTCAGCTTATGTACTCATTCAGCCATTTTTATTTATTTTTTGTTGGGAGATGGTGGTTAATGAGATGCTTTCTTCTCTACCAGGTGATCCATCAGTAGCAAAGTCCCAGCTGCTGCGCTATGTACTCCACACAGCACCCAGGGCCATCCCCACCACAGGGCGAGGCTCCTCTGGCGTTGGTCTGACTGCCGCAGTCACCACTGACCAGGAGACCGGTACGACACACACACACCCATAAATGTGCTTGAAGACACTGGCACACAAACAGATCTTCCCATTCGTTGTAGCTTAAACGTCAGTTTTCTGTGTTCAACTATTCGACTCACCAGCTGCCTTTTTTGTTGTCCTCCCCAAGGTGAGCGTCGCCTGGAGGCAGGCGCCATGGTGCTGGCCGACCGTGGCGTGGTGTGCATCGACGAGTTCGACAAAATGTCTGACATGGACCGCACGGCCATCCACGAGGTGATGGAGCAGGGCCGCGTCACCATCGCCAAGGCCGGCATCCACGCCCGCCTCAATGCCCGCTGCTCTGTGCTGGCGGCTGCCAACCCCGTCTACGGCAGGGTGAGTAACTCGCCTAACGCAAACCTGTTTCACCTTTCAGCCATACCTGTTTGGCTGCACTCTAAGCTGATCTACATACGTATATTTTTAGTTAAATCCGCTCTGTATTTACAGTACGACCAGTATAAAACCCCCATGGAGAACATCGGCCTCCAGGACTCCCTGCTGTCACGTTTTGACCTCCTGTTCATCGTGCTGGATCAGATGGACCCCGAGCAGGACCGCGAGATCTCGGATCACGTGCTGAGGATGCACCGCTACCGGGACCCCCGTGAGCAGGAGGGAGCAGGTACTGTGCAGCAGGACTTGTTAAAACTGTGTATTAAGTTAGCGTTTGTTGAGAAATGTCTTACATTCTGTATTTCCTTTTGTTTGTTTTTCAGCCATGGCTCTGGGTGGCACAGTAGATATCCTGGCCACAGAAGACCCAGACGCAATAGCAGAAGAGCACGAGGAGCTGCAGATCTATGAGAAACACAACAACCTGCTGCATGGGAGCAAGAGAAAGAAGTACACACGAATAATAAAAACATCAAACATATTGATAAAAGTCTAATGTGAAAAGTACAATACACACCCGGATGACTGATCACGTCTAAGTGAATAATCAAAATGTTACCTTTTTGTTTCAGGGATAAGATCGTGAGCAAGGAGTTCATGAGGAAGTACATCCACATCGCCAAGGCTGTGACGCCCGTGCTCACGGAGGAGGCAGCCAATCACATCGCAGAAGAGTACTCAAGGCTGAGGAGCCAGGAGCAAATGGGTGCTGATCTCGCCAGGGTGAGCAGAAGCGCGCACGCACACCTACATATGAACACAAGAGGTTATTCCAATACGCAAACTGCCCTGTACTAACCAGAAGTGCAGGGTCAGTTTCATAATACGCACAATTGGCACCATATGAGTGCATTCTGACCATGTTCACCCTCCTCCTCCTCAGACCGCTCCAGTGACGGCACGTTCGCTGGAGACTCTGATCCGTCTGTCCACAGCACACGCCAAGTCCCGGATGAGCAAAGCCGTGGAGCTCGAGGACTCTGAGGTGGCCGTGGAGCTCGTCCAGTTCGCGTACTTCAAAAAGGTCCGTACTGCCGCGTCTGCCGAAGAATGGGGTGGCGATGTTTTGTTCTTTTTGACCCCCAAACATCGGGGTAAAGTGGCAGAAAAGAGTTCTGCAGTGACGTGACTGAATCTGGGTTGTCTGGTTTTCTCTGCAGGTTCTGGAGAAAGAGAAGAAACGCTCGAGACAGGAGCGGGACTCTGGCTCAGAGGAGGAAGAGGAGTCATCCACTCAGCGTTCCCAGAAAACTGCGAAGAAAAGGTACACACTTACAAATTCACAAATACTCCCTTTATACTGGCTGTCCTTACTCTGCATGTCCTGTACACAGTAATAAGAAGCTGCAGTTTGAAGTCAATTTAAAAACAATGCTGTTATTGCTTCTATTGTCAGTCATTAATAACACAAATCTGTGTGTCCTGCAGGGGGCGGCGTGGCTCTCAAGGCAGCGATCCCTACAGCCCATATGACTTCAGTGAAGAGCAGGAAGTCCCTGAGAGTAAGCATCACTTGTATTACCTTCCCACACTGCTGTAGTCTGCTTTCACATTCTCAGTGACTCATTCCAGACGCAGCTCAACACTTCAGCACCTCTACTTTCCCAAGGGAAATGTCACTTTTCTCCCTTTTATTATTTATATCATATTTAGTTATTATATATATTTCTGAATTGCAGAACACAGCACAGCACAATCATTATATTATTATTTATTAAAATCATATAGAACGTGAAGTACAAGTTGCATGCAATTGTATGTCCCAACCTATTGTGGAACAGTAGTGGATGGTGACTGAGTATGTTTACATTTAGATATTTACACTGCATAGTTGAGTATTAGAATTTTCTCTTACTGTACCTCACTACGTTCCAAAGGGAACGTTTTACTCCCACTTTTTACATACAAAACATACGATCAGCTTATAAAATTGACACTGACTTAATTTTTCTAATTTGTTACTTAAAATTACTAGTAGAAGCTGTTTAATCAAGAATCTTTTAACTTAAAAAAACAGCTTGTGTTACATAAAATGTTTGTTATCCGTTTCAGCAATTCTTTTTAGTTAAATGGACTTAATGCATTACAGTTATGTATCATTTATTTATCTTTACCCAGGCACTTTAAAATCCTGTACCTCGATTGTTTCGATTAACATGCGGGTTTCAAGTGTTCTCTGTGTACTTGAGTTCTCACATTGATCTTTGTGTTTTAGTTCAGGCCGGCACCCCGAAACCAGCCAAGCCACAACGGCAGGAGGAGGAGGCCATGGATGCCACATCACAGGCCGAAGACACCGAGCTGTCTGCAGAGAGGTGGGTGAAGGATTCAAACAGCTTGAAATAGTCGCTCGGTATCTTCTCGATAATCTTCATGATAATCAAATCTCTGCTCGTTTCCTGCACCAGGCTGAAGGAGTTCAAGTCGTCCCTGTTCGCAGTCTTCCAGTCTGCTCACGCTCAGTCGGTGAAGATGAAGACCCTGATGGACGACATCAACAAAGAGCTTAAGAGCGGCTTTTCGGAGCCAGAGGTCCGATCCGCTTTGGCTCGCATGCAGGAAGACAACCAGGTCATGGTGGCCGATGACATCATCTTCCTCATCTGAGGGGGAGGAGAGTGGGCAGTTTCTGAAATTGATTACGTGGACTGAAAGAAACAGTGATTTATATTCAAATGTACATATTGGACCTTTTTGTATTCATGCATCCTCTTCTTTTCAACAAAACAAAAAAATAATAATTATTCTAGAGTTTATGCTTATGGTGCATTTGAATCCACTATAGTGCACATTGTTCCATTAACTTGTGTGCAAGCAAGACTAGTGTGAAAAAAATCAAGTCATTTTATGCACTTACTGTTTGTGTTCAATAGTGGTAATGTTACTTTATAATGTCCTTATTACTGTGTACCAACACACTGCTGTTAGTGTAACTTGATGAAGAAGGCAGAAGGGTTATTGCAGCCCTGTGCAGTTTCATTTATTTAGCAATGAAACCTGCTGTGCATTATTACGCCACAATAAGGACAATGAGTAGTTTTACCAACACATCTGTTCTGGGTTTGTATATAGTTGACAATATGTTTTGGAAATTGTTAATTAACTGTAGTTGTGTAAGAAAAAATAAAATGTAATGCTTGGGAAGGTTGTATATAAAATATACTTGCATCAGACCAGACTCATTTTACCTAGCAGATAATCATGAAACACTTAAACCTGGACGAAATAAAACAACAATCACAAACCCTTAATTCACCGTTAGATTAGAAACTGGTAAAACAGGCTGCTATGTAACGTTAGCTAATCCTTGGGGACAACACACTGTTGATTTGCATTTTAACAAGAAATGCTTGTTTTCTTCTTGATCACTGTAACTACTCACTGTTGATACAGTTTGGAGGGATGCACTCTGGTACATACTGCTGTTAAATGCAGGTATTTGTGGTTGTTATTATTGGATGTTGCAATGAACAAACAAAAACATCAAATCATGTCTGTTAATGGGGTTAAGTTTTCAATGACTACTACAGAATGGCTCTCAGCATATTCATTATGATGAGGCTGTAATTGATGAGATGGGTTACAAAAAGCAATACCATATGTGTGAGTTCTGTGAGCGATAGAGATTAAAGGTGATCAGTAATAAAACTAAAAGCACAGTTTTGGATGTAGAAAAACTGATATAAGAAAGGGAAACTTTGTATGCAATGGAGAACCCCTATAGGTTGTTGCTTTCCATCCCTCAGTGTCAATATAAATTATAATGGCTCATTTAGGATTGCTGTTGAGGAGCTGCACAAGCAAGCCTCCCTCGAAATGTACCTGTAGATATCACACTAGATCTCGTCTCAGATTTAAGTAAACCCTGGAAGTTAAAGTGACAAACTGTGATGTGGTAAATGTTGGGGAAAATACTGCGTTGCAATTAAAAAGACAATTATTGGCTACTGGGGCAGGCTGATGGAGGGTAAAGAAACTAAACTCTGCCGGTTAGGCAGATACTGGATGACTGCGGTTTGTCTTATCTTCGGCTCACAGAACTGTACAATAACTGTTGAACAGAGGGAGAGGGATCTGAGAAGCATGATGTGGTATTTATGTGGAATTTAAACAAGAGCTTAAACTGGAGTATTTGTTGTAAGTGCAGGCAGACTATTTTTAGAGTGAACACCAGAATTCCTGAGCTCATTGGAAGATTTAAAGGGCTGGATGGAAACCAGAGGATCTGTGACCTCTGTAATGACAACCGCGTGGGAGCTATATTTTGTTTGAATGTAACAATGTAAGCATAATGAATTATAGAGAAAGATATCTGCCAAAGTATTATTTAAACCACTAATCTATGTATAAATTAATTTTGTTACATGTAATCAGATACACATAAAGTTATTTGTAAACTCGCTGCCTTTTTGAGGAATGTCCTTCCTTTGTTTAAGTAACATTTGTTGTACTTTAGCCTCGCCATCATTTTGTTACTACTCTATGTTCTAAATATATAAAACAAATCCGTAAATCCACTAAAAGTTCTTGTTTTTGCCACTGACAGGCTCACGCTGTTATTCTGACATTATGGAAAGGGTCCCTACAGAAGATTGACCTTTTATTAAATCAGAAACCGCTGTATTATCACTATTGCTCACCAGACTCCATCGACAAAAACTTTAATTTTACCTCACATTTCATTGTAACACCCTAACTTAATTCAAAGTGGACAGAAACAGGTTAAAACCTGCCTAAACAGATTTTGTTAGTCTTTCTTCGGTTGGAATAAATCTTTAATTCACTGACGTAGAGACAGTTTCAGTGGCTCTTCTCAGTTGGAAACAGAGGGACTTGCACTAACATTGCCGGTCATACTCTACGTCTTGGGGAAGATCACTGCAGACCTGCAGATGCTGGTATGTTTGTTATAATACAATGTGCTGTCTGAAAAGTGGTCTGAGATGCTGGGGGAACTTTACGATTTCCCAGAAGAGCTGTTCTCAAATGATTAAACCTCTTCCGGCCTCTAACAGTGTATTTACAAGAAGCATTCTATCTGAAACCTCCAATAAATCCAGACCCACAAAAGTTACACCACCTTACTGGTTAGAAAATCACATCACTGTTCAGCTTCCACCTTTCTTCTCACAAGTCTTCAGTTAACATATTGTTCATCAGGTTTGACAGTGCAGGTGGTGGGGGCATGTAGCAATGTTGCGCCCACAAAGTAACTTCACTGTGGCTCTGATCGGTCTGAAGATAAGGCCGAGAGGCACCAACCCCACAAGCGAAGCTAGGCTGCCATCATCATCCAGGACATAAGGCGTCATGAGTTCTCTACACCCACGGCTGACTCATATTGCATGAAAGGCTGCTGCCTGCGCCTTCCTCGCATCTTTTACCTCAGCTAAGACAGAGTTTTAGTTTAGTTTACAGCTGGGTTGCAGAATGTTTTCTGAGTAAATACAAGATTGAAATTCTGTTACTATGGCCCTCTCTTAAGTCAGAGAAAACAGCAGGATTAGCTGTAAAAAAATACACGTTTCCTCTAATCTGTAGTGCTGTTTATCTATCTATCTAGACTGTTTTGGTGTGAGTTGCCAAGTTTAGGAGATTTTGGCCTTCTCTCTAGCATAATGGAACCAGATGGCACTGGGCTTGTGGTGCTCAAAGTGGTAAAAAAAAATACATTTGAATCAACTCTTTCCAGAAATCCTGATCTGGTCATTTAAAGTAATCCTCAGACCTTGTTATGAGCAGTTTCATGTGGGAACTATTTTCTTTCTGTGTATTTCTAACGTGGACCTTTAAAGCAATAGTTCCACATTTTGTGAGATTCTTCAGGAGAAATGCACCAGGTGAGGGGAAAGAAAGAGCAGGGGAATTGTTTTTCTTTCACTGCTTCTATTCTTTCTAACATGCTTCTGTTCCTATTTTTTATCTGAGCAATGAACCAGAACTACTAAAATAATCTCTCCCAGCTCTTTGCTGGGAATAAATGGGAACAGAGGAAGTGCTTTTTGGCAAGAGAATATAGAAACAGTATAAAAAGATGAAAAGATCTGATGCAGCTCTGCTCAATTCATGTTCAAAACTGAAAACAGTCTCTTTGTTCAATTGATATCGTGGTTTCATGTAAAACCTACAAGGTCTTGAATTTCCCTCGGGATGAATAAAGTATCTATCTATCTATCTATCTAGATCGATAGGCAGGTGTTGAGTCCAAATTGTGCCACCAGAATACATTTACAATTTTGTTGTTCTACTTATCTCGTATCATCTTCATTAGTTAATTAAACACCTATTTTTCAGGGGGCACATGCGCTTAATTAAAGACAGTGGTCTTTAAATCTGCTAGAATCAAATATTTTTACATTAACAACAGGTCAGATGACATTGTGTAATGTGAAAGTGCTGACTCATTTCAGCATCTTTCAGCTCATTATTTTGGTTTTACACCACACAATTTAACTGTTAAGTCTCATTAGTATATTTTCCAGACACAACAGGCAGCTGCTTTCAGGGCTTTGATAACCCCACTGTACTGTACGCTACCTACTCACACCAAACAGCACACAAAGGTAGCATTAAGCAGTAGGCATGTCCCGATCAAGTTTTTTTCACCCCCGATCTGGTCAGAGTTATTTAATAATGAGTATATGCCAATACAGAGTCCCGATCCAATCTTTATACAGTGCCCAGAGCCCACTAAGTACATTTAAGTTATTAAAATCAATCTAATGTATTTGTCTGACAATTGAATACATCTGCATTGCATTAAGAAAAAAATTTCATCCAAGCTGTTTTATTCTTTTTATTTTTTACAAAAATATAAAATAGCCCAACAAACCCTCTCAGTTTTTGGCTTGTTGTTACCTGAATGAACTGTATTCTGTTGAGTGTTTATTTGCATCTTCTGTACATCTTTTGCATGGATTAAATTAATAAATTACTCTCATTGGCTATTTGTTGTCGACTCTGCACTGCACCTGCTGTTTGCCCCAGCAGCTCAGAGGAGTGGAGGAGAGACAGACAGTGGAGAGTTGGAGAATTGACTACAGTGTTTCTGTGAGTGACAACACCTGTCTGACAGCTGAAATAAAAGAAAGGATTGGATCGTACTTAATATAGCTCAGTGTAGCCGATACCAATTCGTTAAAAAATGATTTGATCGCCCCCGATACGATCTTTGAGATTAGATCAGACATGCCTATTTAATAGCCAAAGTGTCATATGTTTCCCTTGAGAGTTGGCAAAGACCCAAAACAGAGCTGAAAGGGGAGTGTACCCTGATGATGTCATCATGGGTATTTTTCAGACATTGTAAAGATCTTTTCAGAACCACATTATACATCCTGCCTGTGTACTAACTGGAACGTATATACATTGTTTTTGGGAATGTTCTAAAATGGCTAAGTTCTGGTCATGTGTAGCAAATGAGTTGAGTACAATTCTGAAATGTAATATCTGTAAATAACCTGCAATTTTCACTAAGGCTACAATCCAGAGCAGGAGAATTAAAATCTTGAAGGTCAAGGTTGATAAATAACTTATTTTCCTTGCAAGAAAATGCATACTATTTAACTGGATTCAAGAAAAACTCATGGATTTCCCATGGAACACTGAAGTGCCATAGAGAGGGAATGAGAGCAGCTTCATAAATGTATAGCAGCCACTAGTGACTCACCTGCCCAGTGATCCTGGTGACACAGCGGACTGGGGAGCTCCTGAGCCCCTTTTGCAATTCACTGTGTGTGTCAGTGAACAGTGTGTCAACGGCGTGAAATGTATCTTTTCAATATTCATCTATTTATGGTTTTATCAGGCGCAGGTCTGTACAAAAAGTTTTTTAAAAATAAAGTGAAAAATAATACAATTTCATTATATAAAAAAATCAACCACAACCACCTTATGGTAGTGACCCTTTAAAATTGACCAGTGTGGTGGCACTCTCTGGCCTCCGTAGTCTGCAAGCTGTAAAAAAAATGCATTTTTAAAGGGTATGTTTGACAGTGAGGCTGCTCATGTGAATTGCTTTTTTTATTGCAGGATTTATATAGATGCATTCACACGCCCACAACCACACTAGATGGTATGTTTTTACAAAATGAAAGGGCACCAAAGCAATTTTGCAGACCACCAGTCAGTTCTATCTATTGTGTATATGAGGAACATACTATACAGCAGTTTTAATGGTGTGAAACTGCTTTAGCCTCTTGCTCTGAAACTCATATACTGCATGGAGAGAGAAGATGTTATCACACACTGTCTTTGATGAGTAGGTATGCTGATCTATTACCAGAACCCAAGCATTTCAGGTCACACATTTTTTTGACCTACATTGTTTGGCGTGGGATGGCAGCGCACAGATGTTGTTACTAGTAATGTTTTGAGACAGTTCTGAATGATGAGCTGGTCTCCTAATGAGATAATGTAACAATGGTGCCAATATTTTTTCATTCTTTACTTTTGTTATTCTGCTTTCAGAAATGGGTTCCTCTTGCAGGCTGATTTTAAACTGAGATCAGACAATTCTACACATAATTGATTCTTTTACTTGGATTTGGGTTGATAAAAAATTCCTCTGGTTTGGTTTTTAGCAGAATATTTTTCACAGTTTTCACATCAATGCTTTTTTCTCTCTGCGCAAAAATTTATTTTTTGCCACAAAAGTAGGAAGTGGTATACTGTTTTCACAGTCACAAGAAAAGAGCCTATAGGTGAATGCATGTTTTCACACCTTTTGACAGATTAGACACATGAAGGTGTCACCTGACTCATCACATTTTGAAATGACACACTGGGGAATCATTGCTTTTTACATGTTGATTTAATAATAAGGTCACAATGGGGTGAAAAGTTCAGCTTTAAGACAACATCAAAAAGAAAGTGCAAAGATCTGCATGAATATTGTAATTTTTTATTTGAGTGTAAGACTCAGAAATGGCAAAAGTACACACATCCTTTTCTCAAGTAGGTAAATAAGTTACGCAGGTAGTGTAAAAAAAACCAATCTGGTAAAGGTAGAAGTTCTGATTCAACTTCTTTACTCAACTAAAAGTGAAAATGTACAGGCTCTGAAATGTACTGAAAATATAAAAGTAAAACGTACTCTCTTGGTTTCTCTGAAGGACATTTCTACCGGCTGTTTCTATGCAAAGTTAACTGAAACTTCTAACAGGGTAAAGGCTCACTCTCTTCTCTTTCACATCTTTTATGTTGTTTCTGCCGTTTTATGTCTGTCATGTGTGACATGCACCGGTCTTGATGTTTGGAAAGTGTGCAGTGATGCAAAATAAAGATAAAAATCAATAATTCTCTTCAATTAGAACATGTAAGAAGCAGATAGTATAGATATTTGTGTAAAAATGTTGGGAGTAAAAGTATAAAGTTGTCAGAAAAAGTATAACTCAAACTACAGATACTTGAAAGAACTACCTAAGCATTTGTACTTAATTACATTCCACCTCTGCTAAGAATGCCTTTTTCAGATAATTTTGTTCTCTGTATGTTTGACATGTATATGCTGTAATGATGCAGATGTAAATAGACCCAGACAAACAAAGAAATGATGACCACAAGCAATTATTGTATTTACAGATTTATCTTTAAAATCACTGACAGTCATAACGGAAATGCACCACAGATCTCGCCAGCACGCACAAACACAGTCAGCCTGCATATAAACACAGAGAGAATGTAGACGCACCAAGACAGCAGAGCGGTGCTTCACAACTAAAGTCTGGGCTCTGCAGGCAGGACGACACAGTCATGAAGCCGGTGAGTGGGGCCACTGTGCTCATCTTTCACTCTTATCATGAGTTTACTTCCCATAGGGTGCCTTAAATATTTATATGACTTAATGAGGCATGTGCTGATTTTATGAAACATTTGTGTACCGTTTAATCTTTTAATCCAAATTTCATGCTGTGGGTCTTAAAATTGGTGAGCAAATGAAAGTGAGACTTCTTTTGTAGTTAATAAGGTTTTCAGAGTGTGAATGTTCATCATGTATACTGTCCACACATTCGCACATTAATTTCAGAGTTCAGATTTTATTTACCACACATTGTGGTATGGAGTAGAAACAGAACAAAACAGCAGTACGAAGATAAACACACACTGAGTCATTTAAAGAGAGGCAGAGCCTTATTAAAATAATATTATTTACTTTTATATTTATTTATTACATTATTACAATAGATTTATTATTTACACACATTTTTGTTTATATGTAGATTTATGTTTGGAGGGGATCTTTAAACATAGACACATGGTTTGGCAGGTACTTTTCTATTCTCAATAATACTTACTTATTCATTCCTCAGGTAGTTGCCATTACATAAATCTTCTCCTTATTCCCTTTTTTCTCTTTAGCTGCTGTTTGCTTTAATTGCCTCTGGCCTGCCTGGTGTTCTTATGTTTAGGTGTTGAGAGCTTTGCTGGTGCTGGGCCTGGCCACACTGTTGCACACCACCAGGACAGACCAGGAGGTCTCTGTGAAGTTGGGGCGTAGAACCAAACTGAAGGGCAGCATAGGGAGACTGGTCCTGGATCCCTCAGTGCAGCCTCAGATTGGCATCATGTCGTCCTCAACCATCGCCAACATGTCTCTGTCACCATGGACGTACAAGTAAGGCATCGCTGAAGTCAGGAGGCCCTTAAAGCCTTTTTCAAAGCAGTGTGACGGGTTTGGTCAGTTTCGTAATTTTAAAGCCTGGAATCCCAGTTATGAATGCATTTGTTTTCCCTCCCTCTCCAGAGAATCCTGCATAGCATCTCGGTTGCCTAGGCGGATATCCCATGCTAAATGCCTGACCTCCGGCTGTTTGAGTTTGCAGGGAGAAGGAGAGGACGCAGGCTTGGTGGCTAAACCTATCTACTACCAGGTCCTAGTCCTCCACAGGTGAGCCACTGCAGTCTTTTTAAAAGCAGTTAATGAAGCAGTTTTTGTTTCTGCTTGAAGTTAAAGTACTACAGTATTGGGTCAGCCTAACAATGGAAGTGAAAAGTAATTTAGAGAGCATTTATCTCTCTTAATCTGATGTATTTCCTGTTGAATCAAGCTGCCGGGTGGGACTTAAATTATATTTCAGCTAAAAAAAAGGCACATTGTTGTTTTAAAGATTTGTTTTTATCACTGGACCTTTATATATATACAGCACAACGTGAGGTGTAGATTTACTGTTTTCCAGGAGCTGAATAGGATTTTGACAGTACAAGAACAGATCTTATATTCAACTTCATTTTTTTTACATTTATTAATGAAACATTATGGGGTGCATTGTTGATACTCAGATGGAAAGTCACTTCATTGTGGTTTGAGGAAGTGGGAATATGAAAACCAAAAGTAATCTGATGTTCATTATTTAGTGTCAGACACTGTGGTTAGGCTCTGCACAGACTCAGGACTTGGTATGCATGACAAAAACACTTAAAACACTTGGAAATGTTTGTGTCAGAGGCAGTGGTGGCAGTTTTCTTTCTGTTTGACTAACGGATACTGTATGAAGGGTTTGGCGCTTAGAATAGAATAGAATAAACAGTTTGTTGCTTCACAAAAACAAGCATACCTCAACAACAGACACACATAAAAAAAAACAATTAAAAGAAAATTACAGAAACAACATAAAAACATCTTAAAACATGGAAGACACTACATTTTAACACTGACAATGTGGCAGCTTAAAAAGAGACTGTAAGAAACTATAAGAATTAAAGTGTTATGGTGCTGGTTTGTTTATTACACACTGCCCTATTGCACTATGCTTTAGTATTGGAGTTCAGCAGCTTGATAGAAGTCGGGACGAACGATAACTTCAGTCTGTTTTATTGTATTATTGTATTAAAGTGTATGGAACCAAACCGAATTGAATTAGATTGACTTCTGCTTGTATCTTCCCTGTCCACTCTTGTCACATCCACTACAGTCCAAATTGATTTCATTTAAAAATATGATCTTAAAATGACATCATCTGTGTAGGTTTAACCCTCACCAATTTCCCCATCCCACTCCAGAGTCCCAAGGCAAAGGCGCAACAACAGCAGAGGGGGGAAACCAAGGAAAAAGTATTATTTCAAACTGGGGACGGAGGTGATAACAGTGGGCTGTACCTGTGTGAGGCCTGCTGTCGTACCCCATCTGTAACACACAGGAACCTTGTGGTGTTAGCAACTCTTTCAGTATACTGTAGGCCAGAGGAACCTTAGTTTTGTTGCTTAGTTTTGCTCAGTGCCTGGATGTCTATGATATAACGATTATGTTATTTGATCCCGTAGATACTCAACAATTGAGCCAAGATAGTCTAATTTTGCTGTTTGACATAACTTCAGACTACACCAAATACTTAAAAAAGGTCTGTCCTACAACATTAGTTAGTTTCTGACTCTGGGAAAGAGGAAAAAAACTTCAAAACTACTCTCTCTTTAACCAGATCACACACTAATTTGGGCAATTATGTGATCTCCATTTGATAACTACTGTAATATTATTTCAATTCCATTCACTGAGCCTCCCTTGAAACAATTTGGAGCCCCCCCTGGGGAGACAGACACTCTGTCTGTGAAGAAATTCTCTGACTCATTCTAGTGCTTCTAATGGAATTTGCATGAATCCACTGGGCCTGAATGGAAACAACAAATCAGAGCCAAGAAAGATAGTTGACTGCTGAGTCTCATTCCCAGGTCGGTATACAGATGCTTTGGGACCTTGGGACTGAGACTCAACAGACAACTATCTTCAAGCCTCCAACCCAAAGCGCCTTTCTTGGCTCCGATTGGTTGTTTTGTTCAAGCCCAATGGATTATTGCAAACGCTACAGGATGATATTTTATTTTTATTTCATTTTATTGCTAATGTGAAAGGGCCTTTGTTTTGACTGTTTTTTATTTAGCATGTCTCCACTTGATGGCATATTAGCCATTAGCCTGCCGGCAACGGTTTTTATTATTATTAATTATATTATTATTTTATTATTTTTATTATTTTCAATTGCCTGATATGTTGTAAACATTTTCTCCGGATAGGAGTCTTGAAAGGGATGTTGTTCAAAATATATATTTGCATATGGTAATATAAATTGTTGGGGTATCTGTATGTTTTTACATTTTGTCTAATTTTATTTCTGTTTTGATTCATGGTTGTTTTGAACTCATATCTGATAATAAACCTGTTCTTATTTTATTGTAAACAATATCAACATGCTTTATTAAAGTTTTTATCCCAACTTTGATGTCTAATTGTGCTGTAAAATACTATTTAGAATAGATCTAATTAGCAACAAATAGAACAAAAAAACTGAAGTTTTTTTTTTATGGTCTAATTCACTGATTCTCAAACTATCATATCAATGGTGGTAAGCTAGCTGCCTCCAGATGTAAAAAAATGTTTCTTTTAATGAAATAAATTGACCTTTTTAAATGTATTAATTAAAAACATATAATACTGTCCAAATACTGCAACATTTCGATTGAAAATACTATGAAATCACTGAAATGTAATATTTTGTCAACCTGCTACGTGGTGATGTTCACACATGTAGCACGTGTGCATATGTTCACGATTCGTCACGAGCTGAAATGTAATGGCAAGATAGTAAGTGAAGGTAAAATGATTTTGAAATTCCACCAAATTAGCTCTGGTTCTTTAACCGGTTCCGTTCAGGAAACAGTCCTGTCTCTTGTGTAGGAGAAATTGCTAGTTCTCTGAAGAATTATGAACCCAGTGTGATGAATCAAATTCCTTTACTCATGCACTGTCAATAGCTGAATAAGGTCAGCCTATGCTACTATATTTTTAATATCCATCATAATGGGGGTATTTGAAGAGCCTAATATTTACTGAGGTGATACGTGGAGTAAAACGTTTGAGAAACACTGGACTAATTTATTATTACCAATTTAAAAGATATTCATGCAATGACTAATAAGATATATATCTGTAACTCGTTTTCTTTTTGTAAAAGTTAACACTATATATTCCCATGTTTAAATCATGCTAATCCATATTTATGTCATGTTTTATGGTCTAATTATGTTTCATGGATGTGAATGACTGAACATAAAAAAATAATCTCATAAAGGGAGCTAGTGGAACTAAGGGCTTTGTGTGTGTATACAAGTGCATGAAAAAGATTATACTAAAAAATGATAAGAAAACGAGAGGAAAGTGTGAGTTCAGTCAAGCTGTTTTTACTGACCATGCCAAATAGATACAATCAATCCAGCCTTGAAGATATACACAACACACAGTTACAGCGAGTACAAACCCCATGTTACGACTCCCCTGCTACAGTGCAAACATTTTAGACATTTCAATCAAGTCAGTATGACTCAACAACTCGAGCAAATTTCATCGTTCTGTTTACTCTTTTAGGTTTAAATTTCCCTTGAAAATCATAAACTGACAATCAGAGCACAGTGACACATGCCAAAGCAAAGGGAGACTGCTCCTTAGCCACAAAACCCCAAACTCATCCTTTCAAAACCAAATGTCACCAAAAAGTCCAAATTCTGAACTAGCCACTCACCACTGCCTCCTTGTGATGTTATTGTTTATGCTGTATATATTCCTCATCCTTCATGTATGCATATGTGCTTTTGAGTTGTGCTTAATGAAACAAGAGTGCAATCAGTGCTCTAAATCTAAGGGACTCAAATGCATGTCACTGATCTACAACTACACTACAGTTAAAGTTTCACAAACAGCCTGAAAGTGGCAGAATACAGCAGAGCGTCATCCCTGTTCAAGCTTTTTTTTTCTTTTACTCCCCTGCCTAGAGCACAGTAGAAACAAAAGCTTCATTTTATATTCATAAACCATAGTTTAGCACACGCAGACGTCCCCAGATAGGCCCGAACGGTCCCAAAAATGGCGCAGTGAAGAATTACCATGAGAGCGGTGGAGCTAGGGAAATCAATTTTTATTCTTAACTCGGAAACAGCAGAAGCTTGAGTGTTCCGTTCTGTATATGTGTATTAACTGGTAATAATCCTGTAAATCAGAGACTGGAGAAGACTCTTAGCTTTGATTTGTACTTAATGTGACTACATCTTTGTTTTTTTTCAAGCACATCACACCTTTTATTCATGTTTCATGAGGTAAAAATTTATATTACAACTCCCTGCTCCATAGTTACAGCCTAATATGAAAGAAACAGTGTAATTGGCTGTGTTGCTGCCAAATTGGTAGCATTCAGTGACAATTTCTGATACAACCAACAGCATAAAAGCACAGCTCAGTTAACGCTGCTCAAATATCATGCAGGCAGTTATAATTTCCTGCTTTCTGGCTGAAGAAACTGCAGAAATGAGAGAGCTGTGATTTAGCTTTGTACCTCCTCTCGCCTTGATGCAGTGTTCATTGCTTGCCTAACCACCACTGCAGACCCTCTTTAAAAAGATTTAATTGTTTGTTTTGATGCCACCCCACCCCCCTGCCCACTTCCCTTTAGAAAAAAGAGAAAGATTTCTCTTTGAATTTCAACATCAAGAGTTGGCTAAACTTTTTACAGCTTGTTCAGAATCGTTACAGCATACATCAAATATGAAAACTTGCCTTTTCCCTTTTATTCGAGTTGTTTTTAAGTTCTTTTTTTTTCTTTCCTGCACTGTTTTCATTTCCATTTTTTATTTTTATACTGACTCAAAAAACTCCCAGTCCTGCTCTTTCTCTCTCTTCGTCCCCGGTTCCACTCATCTACCGGCAGGCTTCCTCCTTCATCTCCTTGTTCTTCCTCACTTCTTCCGCGTGTTTGTCCTGCCAGACAAACACAGAGACACAGCAACATCGGAGTCATTAGCATTCATGAATGCATTAGCATTAATGTGGGAGATGCCCACAGAACAAGGCAACAGCTCAGCAACTGTTAATAAAGATTTGAACAGGGGAATGATACAGTGGGGACAACTAAAAACTCTTTTCCACCTCATGCAATATTAATGATTACTGATCAAGCTTGTGAACAATGTTAAAATAGAAATGCAAGCCTAGTTTATGACACTGAAAGCTGGCCTCATTTGCACTCAAGAAATCATAACATTTCAGGTCTCAATAAAACAGTGCTGGTTAAAGGAAAAGTTTGACATTTTGGAGAATATGCTCATTCTCTTTCTTGCTGAGTTAGATGAGATCAATACCACTCTCATGTCTGTATGGTAAATGTGTAGCTGGAGCTGTAAAAATGACTATTTCTTGCCTGGCACAAAGTTGCTGGTTGCTTGGCAACTGGTTCCGCCATAAGAAATAGTACAAACATGAAATTTAGCAAATTGGCATTTTTATACTTGTTGTGTTTTATTCTACAGATTGGACAAATGAGGCATAAGTAATTATTCAGCATTAGAAGTGCTGGTAGTTTTTTTTTTTCAAACCTTTGGACAGAGCCGGGCTAGTTTCTCTGTGTCCAGTCTTTATGCTAAGCTATGTTAGCTGTCTGGTGGCATTATGGACAGTCTCATCTCTAGTCTTAGTAAGAAGGGCAATAAGTGCATTTCCTAAAATGTCAAACTATTCTTTTAAAAATGATGACACACAACCTCCAAAAACTTGTAGAAATTGAAAGGAAAAGACATCTTCTCTTAGTCGCTTTCTTTCTGAAAGTTAGATGGAACTGGAGCTGTGAGGCAATTAGCCTAGCTTAGCATACAGACTGGAAACAGAGAAAACAGGTAGCCTGGCTCTCTCCAAAGTTCAAAAATACGACTACCTATGCCTCTAAAACCGATTAACTAATAGACCTTTTTCACAGCAGCTATTTGACATATAATAGTTACATGTTAAAATGGCTGATGTGAAAAAGGTCAGAAGTGTAAAATCTATATGGTTTACAGTTTTTTCAGCCTTTAAAGTTAAGGTAATCTCCTGGCACAAGCTCCATTCTTAAAAAGCTATGTAGTTTGCTAATAAGCATGTTTTTAAAAAATTGTGTCGTTCCTTTAAGAGTCACGCTGCCAGTGCATAAAAGATCAAGTTTAGACCGGGCAGGAAAAATGTGACTTTTTGCACTAAAATTAAATTCTCAGGACTGGGTTACAGTATACAGTAGATAGCTGGACATATTTAGTGATACTAAAACAGTAAGAGCTTCCAGGCAAGAAAAAAATAGCGAAACTGTTGGAGGAAACTTGATATGTCTGTCTCTATCATGAGTTTCCTGGTAAGTCTAGACTGAGGGACTGATTTAAATATGTGATGCATTTACATTTTAGACAATCAACTTTCTCTATTTTAAAACCCATCATTATTTGTCAGAAATGAAAGGGACATTGCCAACAATGTTTATTGTGTATTAGAGTGAACTTTTCTTAAAGTGTTACACCCTCGATTTTTGAGAACAGTGTAGAATCCTTCGGACCTGGATCCCCTTACAAGCTCTCTACAAAGGTTAGAAATAATTCATCAACTGGCCAGTACCTTCTCCTGCAGCCTCTCCAGCATGGCAGCCAGCAGGGCCTCCCTGTTCTCCTTGTTGGCCTCCATCTTCTGCTCGAGCTTCTCCTTGGCGTGCTTGATGAAGTTGTTGTTCTCCTCAAAGGCCTTCTGGATCACCTCACGCTCGTGCTCCCTCTTCTCCGCCAGGTGCTTCAGCAGCTCGGCCTCCTGGCACTAAAGGACGAAAGAGACCAGCAAATGTTGATCAGTGGACAATTTTCACCTTTGTTAAATAGCAAACGAGGTTACCATTAACAGCGGGTTGTGTTTAGGGTTTTAAGGTTGTAGTTGTTATGTCTTTGAGTGGGTTTGCAGAGGATACAGACACCTGTCACACCTCAGAAAATGTGTTGCATAGATTAAAATACAGGTGAAACATATGTTAGCATGTAAAAGAAACCCAATGCTCCTTCTCTGAAAGGCACAAGGGATAAAGTGTGTAAAGTTATGTGTTTGTTTACTTGTCTCTTGGGCGTGTGTTTGTATGTATTGCAGTAGATATGACCACCGCCTCAGGAAATAGTAAGTCATTTATATTACTGCTGACTGAATATAGGCACGATAGTATGATTTCAAGCCCCTAAAAAAACAGTGGCTTCAAGTATGTCATGACTGAAAAAACACAATCAAAGTTTAAAAAGAAACGTGCTTTCTTGCAACGTGAGAAACTACTGTGAGTCAAGATTAGCTAAACATATTTTTGTGCCAAGAATAAGTAATAAATATTAATTATGAATTAACTATCATCCTAATTCATGTTTCTAACCAGCTATGTTATGTGAATTATTAAGTATAAAATTCAAAACCGGAGTGGTGATGGCAAATTTCAAAAGAAAGATCTTAGATTCTATCATTTAAATAATTCTGAATATTAATAACCCAGGCTTTCAGACTGAGATTTGAGGCACATAAGATACATGAATATTCACTGTCAGTGTGGTAAATAGTTAAATGATGATGGTGACAGTTACTACTGATGGATAGTAGCTTGAGTGGGAGGCTACTACAGTCATACAGTACAGCAGCATCAGTGACTGTTGTCTCCAACAAAATCTCAGCCTGGCCTCAATCAAACAGTTGACTATTATTAGGTTGGTTATATACAGACAATGCTTAGCCCAATCTGGTGATTTGATCAAATATGTATATGTCTGGATAAGCAATGTCTGGCCACCGTGCTGGGTCACTGATACACTTGGATGGGGAAAGACGGGCATGACGATCAATCAGCCTTATTTTATCAAGGTATCACAAACACCCAGGTTCAGGCAAGGCCACAAAATCATTATTGGACATGTCCACTAAATGAAAGTTTGTTTAATATGAAAGGAATGTATAGAAACCAGTCAAAGTTGTAATCCAAACACACTTCAAATTGTGTCAAAATCTATAGAATCTTTGGTTTTCCCCTAAAAAGAGGCGTGGTCGTGACGTTACGTGAGGTACCAGTATGTGATGGCCTGAACTATCAGCATCATGACTGTATTTTATCAGATTGATTGACAGTAGCAAAACTTCCCACCAACAACTCATCAGAATCTGATTCAAATGCAGTGAAATCCTGATTGGCGCACGCAAGTACATCACCTTTTTCAAGCTAAGCCCACTTCCAACCAGCGAAAATAAAAACAAAACAGAAATCTCTAATGTAAAAGAAATAAAAGACTTTTGACTTTGGCAGAAAAAAGTGTTTTCATGTAGAACTCCATTACTTATAGTGAGAAGAGACTCTGAAAATAAGTTGCCAGGGCCTTTAACGCACCGAATAAACGATTATTAATGGAAACATCTGATGTTGCAGATGTCTTGTGACCATTCTGTTGCAGGACACTTTCCCTGTGCCAGCTATTATTTCTCTCCTCTCACCTTTCCCCTCTCCCTTCCTCCCCTCTCCCTAACATCCCCTTTGCTTGATGAATATGAGCCATTGTGAGTGCGTCCTTGCATGATTGCCCTTGTGCTTTCATGTCCCTTTTTTCATCCCCACCGCTCCCTCTGCTTGTGTTTCCTCCCTTCCTTTCCATCAACTCGAACTCCCTCTTTCCTTTCATCCATTTCCACCCTTTTTCTCCCGAGTTGATAAATCATGCTGTCCACAAAGAGCGCTGTCAGATGTTTGACAATGCCTGAATGAACTACAAATAGCCAGGATTAGGGTTATAGTTTAGGGTTAGGGCATGTCCAGTTTGGTTTCTTGTGTTGATACGAAATACCCAACCCTGCCCCCTTCTTCCCCTCACCTTCCGCCTCTCCTCGGCAGCCTCCAGCTTCTTCTGGATCTCCTCCAGGGACGGGTCGCGGCGCTGCGGCATGGAGGTGTTGAGGTCTGGCACGCCGTCAAAGGACGGGGGCTTGAGGATGACCTCGAAGGCCTGGCCTGATGCCCGCTTGTTCAGCTCGATCACCTCCACGTCTTTGATGACGCACCAGCCCAGGTCCACCGCATCTGTGGTGTTGGATTGTGGCCATGTTTAGATTATTTATTTACAATGAAGTTTTAATACAGGGAAGTTACACATCATCATCAATATTCAATTATAGTCCTTTTATATGTATTTGCTTTAGTTTCTACATTTCCCAGAATGACTAGTGCCCATTCTGGCTATAATATGCCCCTATATGATTATTAACAGGTGTGAAAGTGGTTTATTTTTACCTTCTGCCTTGTATGTAGGTTTTTCTGCAGTCTGTGGGTTCAGGCAGGCACAGAATAGAGACACCAGGGGGAGCTCTTTGACCTTCTCTTTGTAGGCTGAGGAAACACACAGGCACACAGACACACAAACACAGGCTTGTTCTGTTATGCTTGACATTGTGTTGACTCAAACTAAATGATGAACAAGCATTTAAGGGCTAATGATGTAATTCTCCTTTTCAGTGGCAGTGACTGGTCTTTCTCATTATGTAATTATACCAGTCATAATAATGACAAGATATGTGCTTCAGATAATAAGAAAGCGCTTGTTCCCACAATGCAATCATAAGCAGTGTGTACAGTATAGGAAAGGGGAGCTGTGAGGTGTGCGACTTTCTGCTGTGGCTGCATTTACCTGCCAGAGTCATCTTCTCACTGCGTATGTAACTCTCCAGGGATGCTGAAGATCCTTCTCAGTCTGTCAGGGAAAGACATGCAGAGACAGAGACAGAGACAGAGACGGAGGGGAAGGACTGAATGAAGCAACTTCAAAGGTCATATAATGAATTTGAGAAGAGGTGGCTAAGGAGAAAATGAAATAGACCACAGGCTGCAGAGTCCTTGCTTTAAGCACCTCCCACTAAGGTTTAATTCGACCAATGAGAGAACAGCTCTGCTTCAAAGACTTCATGTGGGCCAGAACAGAGGGTAATTCTTGCCAAGGAGAGTTTGTCACTTTGAATACCTCGACAGGCTGGGAAAATCAATCCAATGACGTAAAAAAGAAATGAAAAGACATCATCACTAAAAAAAGTTACATTACTTTGTAAAATTACATCTTTTCATTTTCCCTCATTAAAAAATCCAGAATATATGAAAATAGATTCATATATATTGTTCATTTCAAAACTACTACACTCAAAATATGTCTCCTACTTAATAGCCACATTTTATTCCAAATTTAGTGAAACATTTTTACAGTGTTTAAAAGAAAAACAGTTGATGGTGCTAATTTTTTAAGTGCGCCCAGTCAGGTGCAATTAAACCACTGCAGAAGAAGAAGGCTCTACCAGACGAAGCAGATGCGAACCAATCAAACCTCAAACAAAACTTGATTTTACCAATACAACATCTCAGCCAAACGTTTTTGGCCATATTTGGACTTTCTTTGCAATTAATGGTGTTTCCACTTTGGTTTTTTGATTTGCAAAGGAAAAAAACACTGATAGATTGAACAGCACATACTATTTACAGTGAGAGACCTCCCCCATTTACCAGATGGAACAGCCTTCTACCGTCAAACTCCGAACATGCATCATTTTACATGGTGAAGCTCAAACATCCAAGTGGAGGGGAATAAGCAAAACACATTTAGAGTGGAGGGGGACTTAAAAATATTTTGTTCTTCTTTCTTTTTCTTTTCTTCCGGGCCCTCTGTTTTGCAGCGAATCACAGCTGTGACACAAGTGGGAGAAGCAGCTGTAAATCTTTGAGAGGATGCAAGAATGGAAGAGGAAGGTATAAATAAGAAGGCGAGGCATCGACCACGACACAAGCCTGTTTCACCACCAGCTGAAAATGCACTTCAAACCTTGAAGCAGTGCCGTACAGCAATATGCACTGTAATTGAAGCAAATATGTCTCTGTGATACTGACTGTGGGCTGCATATGATATCAGATAATACTCATTAATGTTTGACTGAAATTCGAGAATAATATAATTAATTTCAGATTGAATTCAAACAGTGATTGAATCAAGCTGAAGAGAGGCAGCAAAGTAATGAACCATCTCACCAGACCGTCCACCACCTGCTATCACTCTGTCTCTCTGTCTCTCTGTCTGTCTGTCGCCTGTCTGACAGATGATGTCATCAACACTGAATTGATGAACATCTGAGAGATGCTGTACATCGGTCACTCTAGATTTTCGAAGCTAGTGAAATGGTTATAGTGAGAAGGAGCCATGATAGTTTTCCTTATCCACACTCTCCTATTTCTATTCAGTTCAACGAGTCAAACTTGTACCATTATCGCAAGTCAAGTTAAAAACAGATGGACAGAACTTTCTGCATCACTGCGGCTCAGACTTAATTATATGAACAAATACGCAAAGGTCTTGAACACCTGAATACATGTGGTCAGCTAATTGGAGACGTTCATCATGTGAGAATCCAGGAGTGTCCCGCACAGTTCGTTGACCTTTTCACAGCTGAGTGCACGCACTAATTAAGTTTTGCTCTAATTCTTGGATCCTGTATCATAAACGCTCTCATCATGTGGACACCCACAAGAATCAGGAGTAGAGGTAAACAGACTGATCAGTAATATTAGAGAGCAAATGAAGTCTTGAACTTCATAAAACAGATTTCCTTCACAGTGCCAGTGGTGCCTGATGTTGGCCTAATTTAATCAAACATCTGTGATGGGATGTGTCTGCCAGAATGCCCAAACGTCCCACCTGTCCCTCCCCTTCATCTTCTAAGATAGGGTTCTCATCCAAACAGCATATGTGGCAGTCATACGGGAATATATACTCGTAATCATTCTGCCTACATTCAGAGAAGGAATGCATTACATGCAAAAGATAATATTTTACCCTCTTTTTTTAAATGTACTGTTAGTTTGCATTGTTGGCCATATAGAAACTTAATGGCAAAAAAGAAACTGCTCAAAGAAAGAAAATCTATAGTCAATGCATTTAAAGATCTTAAAATGTGTTTTTCCATTCACAGCATTCATGTTACTGAAGGTCAGCATGCTCGCGGCATTATCATGACAGCTATAGGTTGCAGTACGGCTGGATCAAAGGCAACATTGGACATAATGCTAAATATATTCATGTAAGTATATAAATGCAGCTCATACTCCCCTGGGAGTTTCTTGATTAGCAACTGTTTATTCATCCACCCTGGCACTTCTGTGTAGAATCTCAGCTGGTTGTAATAAATATTACAGTGCATTATTGAAACACACAAATTGAACACAAAATGAAAAACAAGATACAAAATAATAGTGAGCTTTACTTGGGTTGGTAGGTGTATTTCGGAGCTTTGGAAAGAGCCAGGCTAACTGTTTCCCCATGTTTCCTGGCTTTATGCTAGGCTAAGCTAATTGCGCTACCCCATATTGGAAGTAGCTCACTACTGAAAACAGTGGATGCATTTTTTTAAGCATCACAACCCCTGCAAAATGACTTTCACAATCAGAATTTGATCCAATTTGATAGCACTTGTAAAGTCTAGAAGAGCCGCACAATTAAATTCCGAAGCTCTAAAGTTTTTTGGCGTGTGCCACTGAGCAGCTTCCATAAGAACGAATGGAGCCACGCCTTAAATGCTGTATCCAGTTCTCCCCTAATACATTCATGACCTGAAAGCTACTGGGAAATGTATAAACTATTAAGCTCATTTGTATGTGAATTAGCAAGCTTCAGAGGACTTGGTATTGTTTGAAACTTGGACAGAGAAAGGTACGCTGTATTACCTCTGCTTCCAGTCTCTATGCTAAGCTAGGCTAATCTAGTATCAATATTTACATGTAACTTCCAGAGAGAAAGCAAATAATCTATCTATCTATCTATCTATCTATCTATCTATCTATCTATCGATCTATCGATCTATCGATCTATCTATCTATCTATCTATTTTACATTCTAAGCTATGTCAGCATGTAAAATGCCTGAAGAGTAGTGAGCTCCAGAGAGTGAGAGAAGTGTACTAATGAGACAACCTATGACATAGAGAGAAGGTGGAGGAGAGACGTCTCATTACAGTGCGGAGCACACCTGACACGGTTCCCAGTGGGACACACACACACACAAGGTCACACACTTGTGCATATATAGACACATGCGACATACGCACAGATACATTGAAATACACAGTTGTGCGCACACATACTAATCAGGCACTAAACTTTGCCACACTGTTGGAATCCACACAGGCACACACAAACACAGTTGCGTTTCATCTTATGAAACCACCCAGGCTGCAGATCAATGCACTGCTTCCTGCAGGAGTAAGAGTGCTCCATTTGTAGTGTCAATACTGAGAGAGAAAGAGGAGGAGAGAGAGCAAGGCCTTGGTACACTCGAGGAACATTTGGGTCATGTTGATGGGATATTTGCCAGTTGTATCATAGTGGACGTTTTTCATAATACTATTTTATGATATTCATGGGTTTTTTGTCCCAGAAGATCACCATCATCCATGTTTGCTTAAGGTAATATTTACCTTTTGTGGTCTCCAAAAATTGGGCTAATATATAATAATATAATGGTTTTCAGAACATGAAATAATGACATGAATTGGCGTTTTGAAAGATAAATAAAAAGCATATTGAATGATTCGTCTTATCTATAAATGTTGAATCTCAAAACAAAAATCATGCATTTTGGGAAATACGTTTATCTCCTTTCCTGCAGAGAGTTAGAGAGAAGACTGATGCCACTTTCATGTGTTTGTGCTAATTATAAAGCTACATCAGGCAGTCGGTTAGCTTAGCTATGCAGACTGGAAACACGGGAAACACCTAGCTTGGCTCTGTCTGAAGGTAACAAAATCAGCACCTCTCGGGCTCATTAATTCAGATGTTAAATCAAACTTGTTTAATCTGTACAAAAACCAAAGTGTAAAAATAATAATTATAAAGAAAACTTCAATTTTGTTCCATACTTAGTAATTTTACTTTCTGCAGTGCCAGCAGTAATTTGGCAGATATCAGGTTTTCTGAACGTGGATGTCTCATTTTCATTTTTCCACATACAGTGCAGTGCACTGATACCTTCAGGGTTCTTCAGTGCTAAAGTCAAAATGAAAAATAAAACAAAACGTTTTTCCCCCCATATTGATTCTGTTTCCATGGACACAGTATTTGATGTACTACTTATATACATTTTCATATTCATTCATGCATATATAATAAACAGAATGTTATTAATATTACATTTACAGGGATGCTGAACATATCTAATGATGTTTACAGACCTCTGATTATTCTTACTCATATTCTGAGTGTAATCATTTGATTTCTTATTGGAGGAGCAGTTATAACGGCCTACAAATTCACACCAAACTTCCCACACTATACCTTGCACATCAAGATTAGTCAAATTTAGCGCATAACACCCATCTATAGCTGACATTTTTATGAGCCATTTTGACTCACTTGGTTGGTTTTACAGATATTGCTTTTGCAAACTGTTGTTTTCACAAATTTTTTCCTTGATACCTGCACTTAAAAAGACACTATACACAGTACAGTAATAAACCTGGAACATAGTGTAGCTAATGGTGAAATTAACACTGAAGACAAGACACGTAGCAAGTACAAAACCAGCCCGACATAAAGACAAATAGGAACTTTTATAAACTATTTGTCACCATATTGTATTTTATTATTTACTTTTCTCTGTCATCCTTTCCCCCGCACTGTCTAACACACACACACACACACACACACACATTCACCTACACACACCTTTTTTCCAGATAAACACGAACAAACCCCCTCATTTTCCTCTCCCACTCTCTTTCTCTCCTTTCCAGTAGCAGACACAAAGCTGCATCTGCACATATGCAGGATCAATAATAAATGACAGGTTACACACCATACAGTTTGTGGGTACACCGAGTTCTCTCTCTCTCCCTTTTCCTCTCTCTCCTGTCAGTAGGACTGCATCATCACTATCCTCACCCTCGCCCCATTACACCCTACCAATACACTCCCTTGCAAACACACACACACACACACACACACACACACACACACACACACACACACACACACACACACACACACAGAGGCAACCTTCATTTATGCAACAAAACTTAACCTTGAGCAACCAAAGTGAGACAAGTAAAATGCAGATGTGTGTAGCTGTGTGTTTTGCGATGCAGACTCACCCCCCTCTGTCCTTGTCTTCTCTGCTGCTGATGGTGGACCGGTGACTACGGTTACCCCCGTCTGGCTGCACGGATACAGGCACCGGGCAACAGCATCAGCAACAGCATCAATGCTGCCTCCATGACATCACCTTGGAGATGTCTTATTGGTCTGAGACACTGCCAGCATCCAAGCTTCCCAGCCAATGAGAGGAGAGGGGAAGGATGGGGGGAGGGCTGTCAGCTCTTTGTGTTGTACTGCAGGGTGGGTGGTAGGATCTCTGTTTTATTATATGGCGCAGGAGTGTGGGATTGTGTGTGTGTGTGTGTGTGTGTGTGTGTGTGTGTGTGTGTGTGTGTGTGTGTGTGTGTGTGTGTTTATTATGCATGGGGAGAGTTGAGTGAAGTAGTGTGAGAAATTGTCGGAGATTGGTAGTCTGCGTGTGTGTGTGTCTGTGTCTGTGTGCATCTCAGCAGGGGGCCCAGCAAGGAAGCACGCAGGACACTAAATTATTTAGATTCTTCTGTAAACTGTAAAAAAAAAAACCAAAATAAGTATAAAACCTTTTGCAGTGTGAAGCACATGCAGTTCATTATGTTGAATATTTGTTATTATAAGACTACAAATACTGCTACTACTGTACTTTTACAGCTAATTTGCTACTTACTACTATTTCTACCACTATTTAAAACCCTCAGTTCATATTTATCACAAAATAATGATTAGTGTTGCTATGGAATTAACATATACAGTTCAGGTTTAGATGTTGCCTATGTTAATAAGCTACAAGCAGCATAACGGGCGTGAGTTTTGTGATTTTCAGTTTATTATTTTACTAGGATTTTTTCAGCTATGGTTATAATAATGACTGTGATATACAGCTAAGGCCAATCTTATTTCTCTTTCATATTATATAGTGTATTGTTGTGTATATCCTGTGCTACATTTGATGCTATTTCTGGAATATTACATACCCCCAGCTTTGCTGTGTGATAATTTGATTGGATACAAATTCATTTAGGAATATGCACCATGTACACAGAAGATCAGCTACATAATGACTGCATTTTGACACAGGGGCTCACAGTCAAGTAATAAAGCAAGATCCACTTCAAGGCCCTTCTCGTGCCAGTTAATTTCTTGCTTCGGTTTTTGCCTTCTCCCTAACATTCAAACAAAGTCACAATAATAAAATGACCACAAACCAGTTGCCGCAGGCTTTTGTAGGTCCTGGAGGTCTGGGATCATAGTTTCACACTTTGGTAATCCACAGAAAAAAGAGTCATGAGTGGTTTGAGAAATCTGAATGAGTTCACAAGTTATCTGACTTTCTGACAGGGGGTACAATGCTCTGGACGGTTTTGATGAGCACGTGTTTGTGCTAGGCATTTAAAGCTGCTATAATCAATAATTCAATACTTGCAACCCACAACTTTATTCTTTTGATTCACTCTCACAGCTCTCATCAACCATCCAGTTTAAAAACGAGAGAGTGTATATTATGCATATGCTTTCATTAGTGTATAATCACCTGAAAATAAGAAAGGTTGTGTGTTCAATGCCTTCGAATGAGCTGTTCTCATCTACAGTGAGAGCGGGTCCTCTTCTATGGAGTCTGCCATGTTGAATCGCCATTTTCTACAGTAGTCCAGAAGGGACAAACCAAATCCTGGCTGTAGAAAGGGCCTTTTCGCATTTTTTGCTAGTTTTGTGGCCACCATAGTTTCTTCAACATGCCTGGTAGTCGAGCTGCATTCAGTTGGTTGTAACCTGCAACTCCACCACTAGATGCCACTATGTACTACATGCTGCTCCTTTAATAGGCTTATAGTTGAAATTAAAATCACATTTAAGAATATTCTGACACTACCTGACAAGTCTAAATGTCACTGAATTACCAGTGTCTTCATGTATCACAAGCTGCTGTAGGAAATATTATTAGTCAACCAGGAAAATGCTTCATTTCCACCCTAATGTCACCTGGGGCACCAACAATTTGGCAGTGTCCCTATAGTGTAATGTAACCCTAATCCTGCATGCAGTAGAGGTGGACTGTGGGATTTTTGCTCAAGCCTCTTGGAGAGTCTGTACACACCCTGCTGTTGCAGTTTTTTTTGCAGTACTGAATGTGACTATTTCTGTCATTGCTGAAGCTGCTGCCATTAACTATCTGCCAATATTAATGAAAACTTAACTTTTTAAATCACAATCTTTTTCTAAATAATCATTAAATCATTAAAATAACGATATTAAACGACAAAATGGAAATAAGAAAAAAAGAAATGGCTGGAGGACAGAGGACAAACAAAGCTAAGGTGACGTATCTGTTGTTGCCGCCCTTTGATCCTGTATTCAGCTCACACAACTAACATGATGTCACCGCACTGTTCACAGGCACATGAGATGAAAGAGCTTACAACACTGGGGGAGAGAGAGGGATATGCATGAGGTCACATTAGGGTGTGTCCTGTTGTCGCTGTCTCCTCTCCTCTCCTCTCCTCTCCTCTCCTCTCCTCTCCTCTCACCAGCCACCACTGACGGTAAACGACGTGTGACATTATACATCACACACATCCTGGAAATGAGATCACCAGGGAGAGAGACAGAAAAAAAAGAAGAGAGGAAGAGTGAGAGGAGGAGAAGGAGGTGAGGAAATTAAGGAAGAGGAAATAAGATCAAACAGATTATTTCAGTGATTCTGGGAGAACAAAGATAAGAGGGAGGACCAGAGCAGAGGAAGAATAAGGAGGGAAGACCAAGTGAAGCAGAGGGAGCTTACTGGGAACACCCATGGGCGAAGTTGGGAGGAGAGGGTGGGTTCAAAAAATGCTCTGGGGATGGAGGATGAGGAATCGCACATTTCACAAAACATGAAAGTAGCTGAGTAGTGGGATGAGGAAGAGAAATGGACAAACCAGGTCTCTCTGTCGAGAAGGAATACATCTAAAATTTCTGCAGACCCACAACACTGAGGAAAGAAACTGATTTAGATACATGAACAAATGTAAGGAGAACAGATGCAGATAAAGCATGTACTGCTCTTTAGCAGTCAAAAGCCATATCCTTGAAGCACTTAAGTGCAAACACACACTTACACATACCCTCGCCACTCTCCCGCACTGCGAGCCCTCGTGGCCTATGAAAACATAAACAGTTACAGTAGCTTAGCGGCAGGCCTGATCTAAAGTCTGACATCATCTCTCAGTGTCTCAGGATGAGATCATCCCATCTAGCTACAAGCCTTACTCACTCTACTCAAATTGTGTGTGTGTGTGCCAAACTGATTGTGAAAAAGTTTTCTGAATGTGCGTGTGGACGGACTCGGTGTGTGCTCGTGCAGGTGTCCACTGCAGGGCAATTAGATTACGGGTAAAATACTCTACAGAGTGATCTGATTGAAGTTGAAGGGCTTTTACTAGCATTGATTTTGACAGCGAGGGTCTGGTATCAAGGGGAAACAAAGCAAGTACACCCACTTCTGCAGAAAGTGAAGTGTAATCCCCTTTCCCCTGACCTATAGAAGAGTTTGGCTTAGATACTGCTTAGCTGAGCTAAAACTGGGATAAGTGGTTCAGGTCTCTTATAAACAACTGTAAAGTTCCGTCTGCATTAATGCAATCACAAAACAAACAATGGCATGCATTAAATTTAGGGCAAATTTAACACAATTTGATCATAAGTCACAAGAAACATATTTAATCCATATTTTAAATGCTGGTCCCACAATAGATTTTTGTCTTGACCTCCTTTACTGTGCAGACGTGTGCATGTTACTCTTGTCAAAGGACAGCCTGTCTGGAACAGTCTGTTACCATGGGAACAAGGAACTGACAAGTACAGTGAGAGAGAAATCACTGAATGCCAGGAAAAGTGTGCGTCTGCATTTGTGTGTATGTGCACATATGTCTTGAGTATGATGTCTGCGGGCGTTTTGTACATTCCCATGCATTAATAAAACATGAGTTATGGGTTACATTTGGTCTATACAGGCAGCTGGCTCACAGGTCGTCTGTAGATGGTAACATTGTCAGTTTCAATCCCCAACAGTGCCAAATATGCTGCAGTGGTGCTCTGGAGTAAGAATATCATTTAGTGGTGTCATTTAAGCTTGTATCCCAGAATTTACAGAGGTGTGAACTCAAGTCAGACTTAGAGTCAGACAGTTGATGACTTTAGACTTGATAACATGAAAAAAAGCTTTCAAAACAACTTGGACTTGAGCCTTCTGACTTTAAAAATACTGGATACCTTCCCCCAAGCCCAAAGATTACAATGTATTGCAAAAGTGTTCCACGAATCAGTTCATATTTGTTCCTCTATAAAGTAGGTGAGTAACTCCAGAACTATATTCTAGAACCTATTTTAATCTTTTTATTTCATTTAGACCTAAAACATAAATCATGCAGCAACATACAATATCACACTGAAGGAAGAATAGTCTTACAGAAAACGTCTTACAAATTTGAGAGAAGAAAAAGTTATAGACATTGTTCCAATATGAGATCAGTTATACACAACAAGACAGGACGGAAACATGCAAAACTGATTCTATTGTGCTACTGGTTAATAGAGCTAAATGCTATGAAAGTGCAATGCCAGCCCTATTTCATTTCTTGTGATTAAGTTCAGCCGCATTTGTTTTAATAAATAAATACAAAATTTAAAAAGCATTCATGATTTGTGCAAATTTACTTTATTATTACTCTGTTGTTAAAATGGCATGACATTTGGTGCAGACTTGTTTAGGACTCAAAACTTAAAGTAGCGCTTTATTGAAAGACTTGAGACTTACTTGTGACTTGCAAAACAATGACTTGGTCCCACCTCTGAGACTTTATACTCAGCCTGTATGTGTCAAAGTACAGGCTGTTGCATTACTACAAATTCTACCAAGACACACTGCAGATATTCAACTGTATGCAGTGAGTCTGTATTGCTTGTGAGATTTTCCATAAAATTGTGATTACACCCACCTTGAGTTCAAAAGTATCTTGGCACACTTAACATAACACAAACTCTTTTTTGTTAATCAAATTATAGCTTGATGCAAACTGTGCTTTGTTTATGTGCTCAGAAAATTCATTTAGATCCAGTGTGGATTTAGTGGCATCTAGCAGTGTAGGTGCAGATT